ATACAGTCGAACCCCGTTATACCGAAGGCACGGGGAGGTCATCTATGATTCGGTATAACGAGGAATTCGGTAAAGCGAACACTCTCTTTGTAACGAAGTCTAGCCTAAAATCAAGTAATATTCGGTATATTGAGGCTTTCGTAAACAATGTTTATTAGTTGCAAAATAAATACCGATATACAGGAAGAATAAATAAGTCGAACTAATCAGTAAAAAAAGAATCTATTCTAGATTGCTTTTTGCTTGTAACATTATGCTCCACCTTCTTTTTCAATGAGCGAAAGACTTTGAGCTCATTATAATCTATCTCCATATTGCCTTGTTGAAGGAAATTAAATGCCGTTTCAAACGCAGTTATGGCATCTTTAGTCAGACAGCAGGAAGACATGGCGAATTACTTTCATTATCGTCTTCTTCTTCTGTAGGAAAAAATAAAGAAACAATCACCTCATCTGCCACCATATCGTTGTTTATGACCCCTTCATCAATTGATATATTAATATATTCTGTAGCACTTAATGCAGAATCGATTGATAATCTGTCGATTAAGTTCTGAAGGGCTTCTTGTTGAGACGCGACATCATTTACCACGGTATTATTAAATAATTCATTATCTTTAAAACAGATAATTCCAGTTTTTTCCCAACAGTTAGTAATTGTATTTGGGCTCACACTATCCCACGCCTTAGCTACATAATCGATTACTTTTTTGATATTAAAAGGTTTTGACAAATTTTATAATTGCTACAACCAATCACTATACTGTACAATCGTATGACAAAATTTATAATTGCTACAACCAATCACCATGCTAAATTTTCTTATCACGTGATAAACTTCGTTATAAAGCATATACAAAAATCCTGCATCCGAACTTCGGTAACGGAATAACGAGGTTTACTATTAAAATTCGTAATAACAATCAAATTTAAATAGTAAAAAAAAGGGGGAGGAACACTTGCTTCGGTATAGCGAAAATTCGGTATAACGCATTTCGGTATAACGGGGTTCGACTGTA